GACAAGAACGTGTACTTAGTCGTCCTTTTTTTACCTTTTTTTAAAAAGGTTAATTTTTTGATAGATATTATTTTCTTTTTTTTTAATAATATATGTATATAGGACAGTTTTTTTAAATTTAATATATACAATTTTTTTGAAAGGTAAAACATTGTTGTATTTTGATTGTAATAAAATTGACTGAAAATTATAAATATTGTTGGAACTAATTTAGTTTACATAGAACAGAAATATTAAACTTTGAGCTATTTAATTTTATTTATTTTAGACAAATTATACACTAAAGTCTCTAAACAATTGTCACATAAGACATAGTGATAAATGGTGTGATTGTATAAATTTAAATTTTATCATACATTCTGTCAAAAAGGTACATGTTTCGAGACTTTAGTGTATGATTTGTCTAATCTAAAATAAATAAAATTAAATAGCTCAAAGTTTAATATTTCTGAGTATCCTAAATTAGTTTCAACAATATTTATAATTTCCAGTCAATTTTATATTTATAAAAATATAGCATAAGTCGCCTTCTGTAGTTAACGCTATGGTTGACAACAATTATCCACATCATAGTGTGGATAGAGAATTAAGTGTAAGAGAATGTTCAGATCATATTTTAGATATTATTTTAGATATTATTAAATTTTATTTATCCATAGAAAAATAAACACAAACTCGACAAGAAATCTTGTAATACACAAAATGAAATTGATTGGAAATGATAAATATTGTTAGAACTAATTTAGTATACATAGAACAGAAATATTAAACTTTAAGCTATTTAATTTTATTTATTTTAGACAAATCATACACTAAAGTCTCTAAACAATTGTCACATAAAGCATAGTGATAATTGGTATGATTGTATAAATTTTAATTTTATCATACATTCTGTCAAAAAAAGCACATGATTCGAGACTTTAGTGTATGATTTGTCTAAAATAAATAAAATTAAATATCAAGGTTTAATATTTCTGTTCTATGTATACTAAATTAGTTCTAACAATATTTATCATTTCCAGTCAATTTCATTTTATGTTTTTCAAGATTTTTTGTTTAGTTTGTGTTTATAATCTTTTTTCTATGGATAAATAAAATTCATAATATCCTAAAATATGATATGAACATTTTTTTAC